AGTCATTTCTTCTCATGATGTGGCTAAAATATGACAATCTCTATTTCATCATCTTTGTTTCTAGGAAGAGTTTGGGCCTGATTTACTCTAGGATCCATCAATTTGTCTTTTTAGCAACCCACAATATTCTCAGAGCTCTTTTCCAGCATTCTCCATCTCAGCTTTCTTCACTGTCCAGCTTTTACATACATAGAAATGGAAAATAGGATGGCATAGATTATCCTAACTTTAGTATTCAGTGATATATTTTTACCCTTCAGGATCTTGTCTCATTCCTTCCAAGCCCAAGTCATACACTAGGAAAATCCCTTGAATAAAAAGCAGAGCAATTTTGCCCCTTTATTCACAGGATAATGGCGATTTTGCTGCTTTATTCACATGATAATAGCAACATTGTGTGATATTGACAGGATTTAATGATGATTTAATGATGGGAGGAGGATTCTTTCCCCCCATGTGATAAAGTCCCTAGCCATCATAGCCAAAGGGAGTTCTTGTAAAATCATGGCAGTTTTTGTAAAATGGGCTGGGGCCCCAAATGTAGTTCAGACTGAGGTTTGTTGTTTTGTTTTGATTTTTGTTAATTTTGCTAATCTGATACTTAGACTATGCTTATAACATGCCAGTTGTACAGGGCCTGATAAGGGTCCGGGCGTTCGGCCAACTTCAGGAGAATTCCAATAAACAAAATCCAGGAAAGTTGCCAAATAAGCCAGGCGGCTCAGGGCAACTAAAAGATGTATTAAAAAGAGATAACGAAAGAGAAATCACAGAGACAGATAATGCAGAGTGGATCCCACAGGTATTTATTTATTTATTTATTATTAAAGTTTATTTACACAGCGCTGTAAAATTTACACAGTGCTATACATAATGAACAGCCAAAATAGAAGTAAAACCTGTCGAACGGTGTGCAATCTGAAAAACAAAACAAAATTATAAAATCAAAACATATCTTAAAATCTATTCATTCGTTCATTATATTAATTTGTATCCCACTTTTCTCCCAAAATCGGGACCCAAAGTGGCTTACAGTCTAAGAACGTACAATTAAAAACTTACAAAAATGGCAATTAAAATGAAATGAAACTATTGCAATACTAAAACAGATCATTTGTTTAAAAATAGAATACAGTTGGCCCTCAGTATCCATGGATTTTTTTAATCTATGTATTCAAACATCAGCACCTTGAAAATATTCAAAAAATATATAAATTCCAAGAGCAAACTTTGTTTTTGCCATTTTATATAGGGGACACCATTTCACTATGCAATTGTATTTAATGGGACTTGATCATTCATGGATTTTGGTATCCACAGGAATTCCGGAAACTAAATCCTGGTGGATACCAAGGGCCTACTGTACAATTAAAAATATAAAAGCACTTTAAAAAAACATACATATTAAAACAAAACACAACCCCTAGGATGTTCTTTAAAAGATTTCTGTTTGGCGGAAGGACAACAAAGAGGAGTCCATTCAACAAAGAGATGCCACAAGGAGCAGAGCTCTATAGGAGAACCACAGAAGGAGAGAGAAAGAAGAAAGGACATTTAATGAGTTATCAAGGCCACTTGATAACTTGGACACAGAAGAAGGAAGAGTGAAAATAGGAGGAAGGAATATCAACAATCTGAGATACGCAGATGACACCATACTACTAGCTGAAACCATCACAGATCTAGAACAGCTACTAAGGAAGATCAAGGAAGAAAATACAAAGGCACGCCTATTGCTGAACATAAAGAAAAGAAAAATAATGACCACAGAAAACCTACATACATAAATTTGAATTAGACAATGCAGAAATAGAAATAGTAAAAGAATTCTCACACTTAGGAACAAACATTGATAGAAATGGAGACTGCAGCAAGTCAATCAGAAGAAGATAAAAATGGGGAGAGGGCAGCTATGAAAGAACTAGAGAAGATCCTAAAATGCAAGGATATA